CTGGACTAGTAAAACATGCTGTCTAGCTTCTTTTGTGGCTCCGATTGAACTTCATGTAGATGTTGTGGGCAATGCGCAAGAGGCGTTCTTCTTCCGTTTCACCGTCCTTGAGGGCTAGAGAAGCCTCCTGCAGCAAGTGGCAGGGGCATCATCAGGAAATGATTTAAACAAGCAAATATAGGGGATGGTCCTAGGTTGAGGGTTGAGGCCGTAGGGTGTACTGCTATAACAACCCGTCTCCTGCAGCTGAAAGCTGTCTGGGCGACGCAGAAGAATGTCCTGGATAAGGCCCTTGTCAAGGGCTGCACCCACCGCACCTTTAATGCCTGATGGCTTCACAAGTGCAACCTCCGCCCCATTTGCCACACCACCCACACCCTCTGGATCTGTAGCCTTGATCTCAGAATTGCCCGAAAGGCCACCCACACCCTCTGCAGCCTTGATCTCAGAATTGCACAAAAGGCCATCCACAGCCTCCGGAGTGCCCGACCCAGGCTCCCCAGTGCTGGCACCCTTCAAATCCTTTGCAGCTCCTGGCACCTGTGAGGACACATCGGCAGGCGGCGGCTCCATGTTTGCATCCTGCCAAGCAGATCTGGGTTTAAGGCTTTGGGGTCATTTATATTAATTAGAGCTAGTTGCAGGAGTTCAGGGTTTAGGGTCAACAGGGGGTCGGGTTTAAGGTAAGCCTAGAAGTGTGCATTGTAGGTAGGTTCTATTGCAACACGGACCTACCAACCTGGGGAGCCTCAGGGCAGGGTTAATATGAAAGGGCACAGGGGTTTGGGGGTTTGGGGGTTTTCGGGTTTTGGAGTATTAGGGTTTTGGGGTTTCTAGGGTTTTAGGGTTTTGGGGTTTTGGGGTTTGGGGGTTTGGGGTTTGGGGTTGTCAGGTATACGTCATTATAGGCCTTGTCGTGCAAGGTTGTAGCCAACAGCTGGGCATCCAGCTCTGCCATCATCTCTTGTTCCAGATCATCCACCTCCATAGGCTGCTCACCATTCTCGTCAATCCTTTCCAAGAGTGCCGGCTGAGGCTTCAGGTTGTCCCAGGCCTTCAAAATCAATACAATCGCTGCATTGATCTTGGCACATACCTCGTCTTCCTTGGCCTGTAGCTTCTCATAGAGCTCCTGTTCCTTTTTCGTGCACCATGCATCCACGGCCTCCCACAGGTGAATTTAGACCTACCCCTAAACCCTAAACCCTAAACCCTAAACCTTTCGACTTAACACTGAATCTAAACCCGGAGACCACAGCGCGAAACCCACTTACACCTCGAACCTAAACCTTATTAGCCAGCTATGCCCAAAATCTTCCCTTGACCCGGGCCTTGAGCTTTTGCGTGTGCACATCCTCGGAAATGTCTCCCTTTGCATGTTGCTGGCTTAGGGCAGTTCGTGTTTTCTCAACTTGTTGATGAACAGCTTCTTGTCCCGATCGCACTGATTCCTCGAGACCATTGAACTCACGGATTCGAGACAGTGCCTCATTCACGCTTTCAACAGCCGGGGCTAGGAAGAGCTTGGTCTCGTGGGGCAAGAGAGCCGTACCCCGAATGGTTTCCCCTGCCATTTCCTCTGCTGCTGCCAAGGACACTTCACGCGTCTCGGAATTGCAGCTGGGACCAAGAACATGACCTGCCCACGTCAGCAAGCTAGAAGCCTCGGCCATCTCGGCCGCATCCATACTTTCATCTGCCCCATGAAACATGCCAAAGTATTTCACACCAAGGGCTGCCACCAAGCTTGGTTTGGGTTCATCCTGCATAGCCTCGCTCAAGTCCTCTCGACTCCATTGCCCCAGGACCATGGTACTCATTGTGTCAGCATGTCGCATACCTGAGTCACACAGACTAGACCTGAGACCTCTGAAGCTACTTCTAATTATATCAAGGACTCCAATTAGGGCCTGAGGGATCTTGGTTTTAGGGTTGAGTTTAGTGTTTACTTGGAACACTTAGGGGTCGAAGGTTTGAGGGCTTAGTAGGTTGAGGGTTGAGACCTAGGTTTTAGGATGTATTGGAGGGGTGAAGCTTCAGGCCACAACATTATGGAATTCTGGACTTTCAGAGGTTGGGAATCAGGCCTCAAGGCAGGGGCACAAATAGACACAGAAGGCTTAAGGTTCATGATGCGGGGTCCACAGGACTAGATGCTAGCCCAACTATGATATTCCAGGGTTCGAGGATCACACTGTTTACCAAGCAAGCTCAGGAACGGGGCTGGGCCGCAACACTGGTCTCTTCATCCGCCTCGACAAGGCACTGAAGGCAACCACACATCACACCCTAAGCCTTGAAGCCCTGAACGCCCAAAACCCAATCCCGAATACCCTACTGCCCTCCGACCCCCCCACCCCTAAACCCTTTCAAACAAATATATAAAAGCTAGCCCACAACCCTAAATTGCCTCATGGAAGAGGGCCTTGGGGCTGTGGCCATGTGGTCTGAGCTTTTTCAGGGCTGGAGATCTGATCGGTGTGCTCTGCGGTGTGGTTCTGACCACAACACCTGCCTTGTCAGGGGTCTGTGTGGGCCTGGTGCTCTGCTTGCAAGGTGTGCCATGTGTGCTGGACAGCTTGGTAGGATCGACTGGCGCCTGCCCTTGTGTACTAGCATCGGAGAGTGGA